ACAGTTTTGAGAGCCAGAACCACAGAGACACTTGCAGGCCATACATTGCAACATGTTTATGTCAGTGAAGAAGGGCTACACCAAAGAAAACTGGATGTGCTGTTTTATTCTTGTTTGAATCACATGTTGCTGTCACCTGAGGGCCATGCGTGATGATGACATGTGAACCCAAAATCAGGAAAACTGAAAGATGCCTCTTGGATGAATGGGGATCTTAAAAAATAAAAAAAGGAAATCCAGTTGCCTTTGATGTAGTGCTCGGCAGTATGACCAAAAATCTGTATCGTGGTAATTTTTTAATGCCATAATGTAAATGTTAAAGGCTTTGATTAGGGTTTTCTTGGTCCCCACAAATTGATACAATATATGAAGGAATCAGAATGCAATAAGTTTACCATTGCTTCCTTTCAGTCATTGCTTCCTTTTCCTTGTCAGTGTATGTATATATATATATATATATATATATATATATATATATATATACATACAATATACACACATATATATGTCTTAAATGTTCGATTACACAAGGACTTAAATAGTCACAAATTGTTGTGTGCCTTGGTTATAAATATACCAAACATCTGCTCAAATGTACAGAATATTGGCTTTTTTTTTGTTTTATGTCATTATACATTGAAAATATTTGGTTTTCAGATGGTTGGTCAAACAATTTAAATATTTCACCTTGGGCTGAAAAATTGTGTTTACACTATTGTTGGTGAAAATCAGCTATTTAACAATCACTAAACAATGAATGGATCAAACAAGAAAGTAATCCGCAGATTCATTGATATTGAAAATAGTTGTTTAGTTGTAGCCCTAGTTTATATTGCAATGACTTACTGTAACTTCCACTGTGCCATATTGCCCATGCTGGAGTTCACTAACATTATATGTAACTACTAATCTACACTTCCAGGCAGTTCACACCAAGTGAATAGAAAACTACTAACACATGTACAATCTAATGCAATAGAGTGCATTAATCCCAAAATAAATATGACCTTATTCAAAGTGTTCCTTTTTTTTTTCTTTGACTGAAACATGTTATTTGTCCACCTTGTTAACTTATATAGTAATGGAATTATAATGCAGGCCAATACAACTCCACATACTACAGCACCAGAAAGCACCAGAGTTGAATCAACACCTCTCTGAAACAGTGTCAGCTGTGTTTAAAAATCTAAAGTTTGAGAAAGGTTGTTCTGTCAGAAAGTTACTGTCGTGATGGATTGTATTACGGTATACAGGGCCTTGTAATTTTCTGGTTACCCAGTGTGTCTGTTCAGATAACAACATGCAGATTGTGACAAAGCGGGATAGTCACTGAATAGTGAGATGGTGTGACAGGACGCAGTGTCATCAGACCCCAGTCATCATTGTGAGTCTGGCAGTAGATGAATGCTGTCTTATATTCTCCCTGCTTTCAGTGACGCACCTTTCCCCCCCTCGTACCATCCTGTGCTCATTTCACAATGTGTGCATAATCTAATTTAGAGCATAATGTAAAGTTTCAGGCTCATTCAATTCTCTAATGCACCATTTATTTCTCACTGAGCAATTAGATTTCAGCTCGATTGAACATTGGATGTTTGCTTTATTGATCTCCATTCACGTTTTGTAGCTGATGCTTTTTCATCAAGGATGAATCTACTGTTTTGGTATTGACATACTGGCACTTGACTCTTGGCCACTTTAGCTTTACTTGCTAACATCATTGGCATTGAATGGCTTTGTTTGACCTTTGACAATGAGGCACAGATAATTCAATCAGTTCTATTTTTCCTTACATTAGCATTTCTTGTGTGGCTTTAGCTCACTATTTTGTAGATGAGCATTGCGATCACGTAACTGCTCAAAAATGAAGTGGGCCCCATGGTCTGACCCTCATTATATTTTACAGTGAATTCACCACTAAATCAATGGCCATTCTAAAGTTCTTTTCTTATCTTTAGGACCCCAGGGCATGGACTACTTGCACGTTTTATATAGAATCTCATTTTCAGCATGAATTATGTGTGTGTAGGTACATTTCTTTGTGAGAATCAGAGCTTCCTTATGGTGGCTACAGTGTTCCCTTAGTCTACAAAAACACTAGCGTTTATTTATCTGATAGCCCTGCAACCTTGAAACTGTGTGCATTAGCATGGCTCTTGTGCATAATCAATCCTGAAGAAATGGGCACAGGTGAAAGATTGGCACTAGTGGAAGACAGCCAGCTAATACTGTTGACTGTCTGACCTGTAACTGTGGAGTACAAGCCAGAGCCCTTTGCAAGTCCTTCGACTCGAGGCTAATTTGGTTTGTAAATTGTTCCTTACTTGCACTTTGTTCTTTTTATTTGCACAGCCCTTTGTACATGATTGCTTTTTCTGGTCCTACATTGCTTCCTTATGTTATATTAAGTGTTCGCAGAATTGCATATCTGGAATGCTGCTATTACATTTGTAGATGGCATTTTACACAAACAGGATGGATAACTTCCAGAAACACTGCAGCAGATTCAAATAAATGAACAAAGTAGTCCATGGGGGTGTTCTTGGTGTACTGCTCCTCCTGCGGGCTGGTTGTTGTTTGATATAGAAAACCTGGATGTAGTTGTGTCCTTGGATCCTGTTGTACTTCCTCTCTCTCACACTCTTTTTTTCCTCCCACTCTTTCTGCCCCCCCTCCCCCTTCCTCCTCCAGCAGCCAGGTCCGTCCGGTCCTGCTGAAGCAGTGTCAGTGTGTGCCGAGCGGGTAGGGGATGGTAGATTTGACAGCTATACTGAGGTGTGAACATGGCTGCTCATGCATAAGGGAGCACTATGTACGCCTGCTGGCTCTCTTCTCTGAGCTGGACGGAAGAGACAATGGGAAATATTTCAGAATTAAGATGTCGATTTGGTCTTTTTTTGTGTTATGTGACAATAAATTAGAGCAAATGATTGTATACAATTGAGTTATGTAGCTGGTGTGTTATTCCCCACATGCATACATTAGGCTTCCAAGTGTTTGAGGTTATTCTTTGATCTAACTTCTTGTCAGCATCAGACTTTTGGCAGCTCGCTGTCCAGGTGGCTGTAATTCACACGTTCCCTGGCGCTTGTTCAGGATCAGATGTTCATGGTAATATGTTCCCGCAGCCCACATGTTGCTTGCCTTTGTATTATATAAAACAGATTGCCTGCCTGCATAACCTTAATAGTGTACACCGTAATAGCTTTGCAACCTGCACGTGAGCTTAGAGCACAACTGCATTTAAGAAAGTGGGTAGGGTCCTCACTTGGATAATGTTTTTGACTGAGGAGAAAAGAATGAATAGTTTGGGACGTTTACAAGCTTGTTAAAGAAATGCTTATTCTGAGTCAGTTTGTCGCTTTTCAGATGTGATCAAGCATTATTTTAATATGCCTTTAACGTAGATGTCTAAACAGATGTCTGTTTAAAAATGACAGAAAGTGCACAATATAAATAAATAGTAACAAAATGAGACGCTTCACTGGAAGCCATGTCCCATGTTATGAGTGTAATTTAAGCAGAGAGTAAACTGGAATTTGTTAATGTTTCAAGATGTAACTTGTTTTGTGGTTTGACAAGCTTGTTAAAAACAAATTGATGAATAACACTGAACCACAGACACATATACAGATAACGTAGATATCACCTAATTTGGTACATCCATGGTAAGATAAGTTACAGGCTTGAGGATAAGAAAGAAGAGGAGTTAAAAACAAATGTGGGTGTAGCTCTGGCCGATCCAGTACACTGGCATAGTTGCTGTTGTGATCCTCCAGTCCTTGTGGCTGTCCACTCAAAGCCAAAGTCAGGAAAGGAATTGAGGCCATTGAGAGAACACCATATGCCAAGTTTTCTAGGCTACATTCTGTAGGACAGAAACATCTGTTGTGTGCTTGTGTGCAGTCAGGATTTATCTAAGATCCCTAGACATGATGGTAAATCTTAATGGTAGTGATGCACTTATTTGATGTTATAACACTGTAACAATGTAGCTTGATCATCTTTTGTAGAACAATGTGTAATTAAAAATTATCCCCACTTATAGTTAAGAATTGATATGTGCCTGAGGTCCACACACAGAAGACTGAGCCCAATCAGTTCCACACACTGCAGGAAAAACTGATTTTAAATTTAAAAAAAGGAAAACCCACCTGACAATTTCTTTAGTTTCTTTTTGGGTCATCACTTATACTATTGTGTGGGAGATTTGTGTAAGGAAAGCTACTGTAGAGTAAAGTTAAGACAACGACCTGGCTTCCCTGCCTTGCCCTGTGCTTCATCCTACCTGCCTTTTATGGAAGAGGAATGCCCCGGCCACCTCGTGTTGAGGGCAGTCCAATGTGGCTCCTGACCTCTTTCCTTAAGTCTTTCTGCTGTCAGATAATGGGCTATTGTGTGCGTGCACATATCACCCTGCCATCTGCATCAGGACAAGGTTGCTCAACCTATAAATCCGAGCGTAGCATTTTTCTCCTGGCTGCGCGCCTTTATTACTCGTTTATCATCGATGAGTGACCACCCGGGAGAGAGGAAATTAAGTTATAGTCCTCGCACAATCACCATTTTGGCCTGTTGACCCTTGTCATACTTTTCTTTGTTATTGGCTCCTTCTCAACAGTTTTCTACTAGAGTGCTTTTCAAGTCATTTTGATTTTCTGCACCGCAGTAGAAATTCTAATCTCTTAATTCTTGACCTGTGAGTGGAATTTAGGCCTCAGCAGACTGTAAAATATTTTAGCCACAACAAACCCTGAAATACCTATGCACCATGAAACAATTCTTTTGTTTATTGATTTTAAGTAGTTTTGGCTCACCTTCAAGAAGTCATTCTCTTGTGCAGTACCCTTTTTATTTTTTGGGAGATTCAACCTGTTTAATGTCTGACTGTTTAAGTGAAGAGAAGTACCTTCAATTATTAACATGTCCTCTCTTTCCCTTTTCTTTTTATCTTTATCTCATCTCATCTCCACGCCCCTCTCTGCTGCGTCCTCTTCTAGCTTGGTGGTGATGAGAGAAGAGTAGACAGTAGGACTATCTATGTTGGGCATCGGTCGTGTTCCGCCACTGAGGCTTTCATCCCACCCAAGTTCTGTGATAACAGGATTGTGTCCTCCAAGGTAAGAAACACTCACATGCATATGTACCAAGATGAAATTCATATACTTGAGTTTGTTTCTCAGCTTCTCTTCGCATTATGTTTCACCTGCCTTCAAGCAGTTTTGCATACTTATCTAACACTTAAATGAACCCTTGAACAGTCTTGAGCATTCCTATGTCTTCCTTTCTTTATTCCTCCTCCCACTGCCTCTCCACATGCTCGTCTCTGCTCCCAACGGAAAGGCGATTATTTGTCTGTCAGGGGAGCTCTGGCTGTGACAGTGAAAAACATGGCTGCTATTAATGTACTGGCAGGGTGGGCAATTCCTCCATTTTCCCCCTGGGCTCGGATAGGCCGCACTTGTCACCACCTCCCCTCACCTAAATCTCACCCGTAATTCCTGTGTCAGCGGTAGGCTCAGGCAGGTTGGCTTATGGATATGAAGGGTGAAAGTGATGAGGAGAAGGAAGCGGCATGTGAGTAAGACGGCAGTGGGATTTATAGTGGTGCAGAGGGTCCCAGTGAGGATGGGCCAATCAATTGGCTCCTGCCAGTATGTCAGGGTAAACAGCCTTTAATTACCCCGGCTGTAGTGTTTATGCTCCTCCATGCATCTGCTCTCCATCATCCTGTTGCTTTTGCACTCTGCAATGACCAATCCCCGCCTCTTCTCTCTTCCTCTCGTTGCTACTGCACCACCGCGCGCAGCCGCCCTCACTGCTGCCACCCCCCTTTTCTCATTACTTTCACTCTCTTTTCTCTCTGGCAAAATGAGATGGGCCGTTCTGCTGCCGCTGCATTTCAACGCCATCCCCATACACACATTCCCCTTCATAAACAGTGCCTTATTGCTGTTTCTGTGTGTGTGTACGCATGTGTGCACGCATTTGTGTTTTTCACCCTGGTACTTTGTTGTGTGACACAAAATTACCAGCAGGGTTTTGTCGAGATGTCTCTCAGGGATTTAAGCAGATAAAAGTGCTGCTTCAGCCCCGATAGTATCAGCAGTCATGGCCACTTAAAAAAGAACAAAACACACAAAAACAGTTACCAAGTTCATTGGCTCTGCATTCAAGGGTAGACAAATTGAGGAGATAGATCGCTAATCTGAATCAATAGAGTACCTGTGGGTTTCCCCAAAGGCCGTCTCCCTAGGCAGTACAAACAACAGAGACTCCTAGCTATTGAAGTTGCCTTTCCTCTTTCCCCTGCCCAGCGCAGACAGAATGCACACTTGCAAGAGTCTGTGAATATTGAATGCCTCTAATCTCTCACCCCTAAGTTCGGCTGAAAACATAAAGCCTGGAAGGGAAAATTGCACAGAAAGGAGCAGTAAAAGCAGTCCACAAACTCTGATACCCTTTTTATGTCTCTGTGATTTACGTGCATGTTTTTCTCTCTCCCCTCCCACAGTATACAGTTTGGAACTTTCTACCAAAGAACCTGTTTGAACAGTTTAGAAGAATTGCCAATTTCTACTTCCTTATCATCTTCCTGGTGCAGGTAAGGACAAGTATTGTCAGTGCTCCAACACAAACAAAGATACACCTTTGTTTATCACTGTCTATTATCAGTGGGTTTAACCCTTTAAAGAAACAATCTGAATGGGTCAGGGTGTCTCATCCAACTTTGCTTCACAACCTGTGTTCTGTAGACCTACAGGATGTGTGCGTCCCCTGTAGGAAAAGTAGGGTGAGAGAGTGTGTCCATTTGCATGTGGCTGTGGCAGGTGTGAAGCAGATACTGGGCATGTGAACATAGCACTGTTGGTGTGAATTGTGTGTGCAATCATAGCAGGTGTCAAAATTGCTATTTATTCCCACTATATATTCCCATGAGACTTTAGTGTGTGTGTGTGCGCGAGTGTGCGCTTGTGTGCGTGCGTGTGTGTTTTTATGTTTTTTTTTTTTATGTCATTCTGCTGTCTTACACGAATTTAAGGTTGGTTAAAGAAGGAAATGACATCAAGATATAAACAAATGAGTTCAAGTGAAATTATAAAAAAAATATTCAAAGCAATATCTATATATAGACACATACACAAGCTGTGCTCATTTTGGCTCAAATTTAGGCATTAAAGGTCCATCTTTTTTTAGGTTAATTAATTCATATTCTACCATTCACTCTCAAAAATCACATGGTTTTTGGGCAATCCGCAAAACATGTTGTGCAAAATAGAAATATGCATGTAATTGTTATTGTCACAAGTTTTGTGCGTGCTGCCCTGTCCTTATAAGTAGAAACTTGAGTTGGCCAAGAGTGCTGACTAAAATGCATTGACTGGCATCCTTATTCCCCTGCTCTGTGCTCTTAAGTGACCTCTTCTCTCTTCTCTTCTCCTCTCCTCTCCTCTCCAGGGGGTGACAGTGTGACAGTTGATTGGCGTAGGGAACAAAAAACAAAAAAATGATTTGTTGCTTGCATCTGCTCCTGCTCTTCTGTCATCTCTTTCTTTCTCTCCCCTCTCTTTCTGATCCATAGAGGTGGAAACTAACCTCTCTCCTTTTAGCAGTAACCTAAACTATGGCGGCAAACAGCCCTCTAGTGTAAACAGGTGCTGGTGCTGGGCCAGCTCAGGAGGGATGTGCTTTCTCTTGTTGCATACTGACTGAATGAGCTCACAGAGTGACTGCTCCCAGAAGCCCAGCACTGTACTAAACTGAGAAATATCTGTGTGCTGCTGTCACAAAGTAATCTCATCATTTTCTAGCCAATAGCAGATCAATTGCAGTGTTTATATTGTCCTCTGGCTCCTGGTTCTACCTGTATTTACAGTTCAAGCATTTTAGCCACTCTAACCTTTATTTTCCAGTTAGTCTGGTTTAACTCCTCAGCTAATGGATGAAGGTTCTGGATTTTGAACAGTTGTGAGCTAATGTGTGAAATTATCTTGAGCTAATGCAGTACATTTATGTAGGAGTAAACCACCAAGCATGTTTGCATCACTCACAGAAACGCACAAGGATTATCAGTGTGTGTGATGCGCGCAGCATAGAATGTTTGTTTGTGTGTGAATAAATTGTATGTATGCCTATGTGTATGTGCTTATGCCTGTGATGTATGACTCAGTGGGTGTCCTGGGTTTGCTGACGGTGTTTACCCAAGCTGCAGCGTGGTTGGCGTTTCTCCACTAATCCAGCCTCTCTTGAGGGGCTCCTTATCCTAACCACTCAGTTTTTCCCCATGCAGCCTGCTATTATATCAGAGAGAGAGGATGAGAGAGAAACAGGTACACAGACTCTGTATGCACTCATTTTGCACTCGCATACTCGCATATCGCAGACAGAAATAAACCTTCTCACTTCCCCTGAGAGGCTTCATGCAAATGTTCTACCAACAACCAAATGTCATGCGTCCTTTAACTCCGTCCTACCCTCCTTTTGTCTCTCTTCCTTTGTCATTTGCTCTCCTTCTTTCGGTCTTTCTTTCCCCCCTTTCTCTCTCACATTCCACCCATCTCTCTGCAGCGCTGCACTGCTGACGTCAGCAGCCAGGAAGCCCTCTGTACTTCTGAGTGCCACAAATAGACACAGGCTGATAAAAAAGCACCACTCTTCTATAAATAGCCCTGCATGTCTTTGCTCGAATTTGATCGAATGGGAATAGAGCGCTGCGAGAGAGAGAGTAAGAGAGAAAAGGGAGAGAGAGGGTTAGAGGCAGAACGAGAGGGTGAAGGGTGTAGTAGGAGGATGCAAACGGCCACAGCACTGCCCTGGGACCCCGGGGGAACCTGCTGTCTGTCGCTCACTCTGACACACTTCCCGGCTCAGATGAAGGGCTTTGTGCTGCTCCGCTCTGCAGCTCTGATATCATACCAGCACATCAGCAGCAGCAGTACACAGTTCACTCCTAATGCTGAGAGATTTTTTTTTTGGCTTTGAATTTGGTGCAGAGGAGGAAAGGTATTTGGCCATGTGGAAGTTTGGTGGGGATTGTTGTGAATCCGTGCAGATAAACTGAAAGAAAAGCTCTGGGAACTATTGTGTGTGTGATTTGGCAGAAGTACAGTAGCTGAAGGTTTTGTGTAGGTTTTAGTTTTCTTTTTAGGAGTTTGCCATTGCAGTGGTTTTTTTTAAAATAATGATACTACTGACGCATTAAAGATAAGTTGTTACCCCTTACACTCTTCCAAAAATGATGGCTGTCCTTGAAGCTGGTCAAGTCGGTAATGTGACATTAAAAGAAAATGTTTTTTTTTTTGAATCACTGTTGAAGAATACTAGAAAAGACACAACCATCAGTTGTCTCTTTTTATAGTCCTCTGTTGAACAGTTGTGATCAAAATTGTCATAGAAGTGCCAAAGTAAAATCAACCTTAAGCAACATTTAGTTTAAAGCTTTTAAAAGCATTCCCTCTGTGCTGTAGGCCCCCTTTTGTCAAGTTTGGCCATCTGGCTGCTGCATCAGAGGGGACATGCTGTCCTCAGTCCTTCCTGAAGTTATTTTTTTGCTTTCTGTGATCAGCCAACCTTCAATTCTGTCACGTGAATAGCCGATGTGATTTATTATAGGCAAAAGTAAAGTGCTCTGTCACCTTTCTCCAGTGTTCACATCACATCTATGCTAAGGGAATCTCTCTAGAGGATCTGGTCATGCCAAACAGTGGAAGGCTGACATGACTGGTTGTAAACCGAGCTTTTCTCAAGAGGCATTCCATAATCCACTAGCTACACAGCCTATAGCAGTGTATCAGGTGTAATGAGTCTCTAACAGAGCCCCATATACCGTGCTCATGTACACACTGCTCTTTTGAAGCATTGAGTCCTCTCACCTCTGTCTCTCAACACCTGAGGCTACTGCGGCAGTATTATTACTTTTGCTTCTGTCTCACCCGAATCGCCAACCACTACAAATATAATGCAGACTCTCCTCTGAATCTGCACTCCTCCAAAGGGTCGATGTGCACTAGTCCATCTCTGCCTCGTAATTGATTTATCCTCCAGTTAATTGTAATCACAGTAAAGCTTGGGTAGGCTTGTAGTTCACTGCCCTTGTACTGTCTGTGAGTGTGTGCGTGTGTGAGTAGGCGTGCGTAGGTGTGTGTAGGCACAGAATGTGGCTGTGTTCATGTCTGTCTGCGATGGCAGAGAGAGCAGTAGGTTTTTGTTTCATTCTCAGTCCAAGCACAGGTGAGTAAAACACCAGAGACTGCTTCAAAAGGCATCTCCTGCTCTTCCTTGAGCTGATGCCTATCTGACAGCTTGTAATGCTCGTGGTCAGAATACCAACGAACTGGATGTGTCGTGTATGTGCGTGCTGGAATACGCACTCTGGCTCAGGGGGGGAAACAAGCCTGCATTCTACAGGATCAGAAATGCCAGGGTAAATCCATCTTATGATGGTTTTAAGGAACACAAAAACACACAGGGCCATTTGTGTACTGGGCTTTTAGCTGGGAGCTTTGGTCAGGTGCTGCTGCTAAACTGGATATTTGGGATTAGCTGATCACAGGTCCGACACTTATTCTTATTACACACAAGCATAAAATTGCATCACATAGTGTACCGCTAGTATCCCTCACACATAGCTCAGGTAGGTTAGGTGAGTCCGGCAAAGCTTTGTGTTGGCCCTCTACCATTGGCAGTGACACAGAAGTGTTGGCCTGCCTGCAGATGAAGCACTCTGTCCCTGGCCCAGTTGATTAAAAGTTCTGTGCTCCAGAACCTCCCTCGCTGCCTTCCAAAATGTAAATGTCTCCCCTGTGTTTCCTACTGATGAACAAATTTGGGGAATAGAATAGAAACGCCTCACGGAAGCAGACTACACCCTGCATTTAGAGGGCTGGCGTGCCTCAAACTCCTCCTTCTGTAACCACAAGCACACATGTGCTGCAGTCAGACTTTGTATTGATGTATAGTATTTAATGAATAGCTTTTCAGTTTGAAGGTCATGTGTTTATTGTTTATTGTTTTTTTCTTTTTTTCCTCCAATAGGTGATAGTGGACACCCCCACCAGCCCAGTCACCAGTGGCCTACCCTTATTTTTTGTGATCACAGTAACCGCTATAAAGCAGGTAAGACACTGCCTAATGAGGCTGATGGTTGTTTGATTGTGAGTTCTCTTGCCATGTCCTTGTTTCCTCCTATTTTCTCTCATTGCCTTCCGTCCTTCCTCCCTCGCCATATAACATAATGCGTTCTCCTGCATTCATAACTCCCTTGCTGTGATTTTTGTATAAAGTACGTGACTAATGCTCTCTTGGGTTTTGTATTAATGTGCTCCACTGGTGAATTCTGATCGGGAGGAAGACCAAATTGGCTCTGTGTATGTGAGCAAATGGAGAGAGAGAGAGCAAGTCTATTACAGAGATACAAATTATGGGGAGTGTCTTTTCACTCTGTTGCTGCCATGTCCCAGCTTTAGATGTATTGTTTTAGGATTGGCTTTTTAGTTTAGTGTCTTGCTGGGGCTTTGAAATGCACAATAGTGGGTGGACTTCCTTCTGAAAATATATGGGACGCACTGATAGCGCTGGATCGCCTTCAGTTAGGCTTTGAAGTGGGACACCAAGGCAGTCAGCCTGACTCCATTAGTCAGGCTGAGGTGAACTGTATAGTTCAACTGACCATCCGTAGAATGCCTCCCCTCTCTCCCCCTTTCATCCACCTGCCGTCATTTCTCTGCATCACTCAACCAGACTTTCTCTCTCCTCCTATCACCTTTCCCGGTAATCCCACTTTCTGGCTCAAGCTCCGCCTTGGCACACACTGTGGTTTCCCTCTCTACCCTCTGCATCTCTGCACCATCTCCTCTATCTCCATCACTATCTTAAAGTACTTATGAAGTCTACACTAGGCTTTGTGACTTATGCTGCTGCAGCCCCAGGAATTATTCTTTTTTATCCGACTCAGTGTTATTTCATGGTATTCTGTTCCAACGCACTGCTGGACAATTGCTATCCCATTCTGCTGCTGTAGGCACTCTTTTTCACATAATGATGAAAGACTAAATGTAAAGATTATATTGTATGCACGGACATTTCTTTGAGTATTGCGCTCCTCTACAAACTGCTGTTAGTTGTCAATGTCCTGTGGGTACTAATCCCACAGACACAAACTTTTGTACTTTTTGTTGTACTAAGCAAATAACGCAAATCTGATTTTGATATGTTGCCGTAGGGCTATGAGGACTGGCTACGGCACAAGGCTGACAATGAGGTGAATAAGTACCTAGTGACGGTGCTAGAGGATGGCGGGAGGATTCGGAAGGAGAGTGAGAAGATCAAGGTACCTTTTATATTTCCTTAGAGACATGTCCAAAGAGATGCTGCTGGCAGCTCGGCATGACTGTGTTTGGAATATATGCGCAGGGCAGAACATGCTCTGCTGAACTGATTAGATGTTCAAACATGGGTGTGATGGTAATTAATGTATCCAGGGTGTTGTGTGCAGGTAATTTCTCCAATGCATTCTTATCTGTTTGCTGTAGTTAACAGTATTTTCAAAGATGCATGGGTGTTCAAGAGGTTGAACACACCTTAAACAATATTTTACAACATTCAAAGTGAACCAAATGAGTTCTGGCTGTGGCTAAGGGTTGCTAGTGCTGCTGACACCACGGAGAATCAACATCCAGCTGTCAAAACATGAGGACAGCTGCTCCCTGTACAGGAGCTCACACAAGTTAGCTGTGAGCTACCTCCTAGTGCTAAGTGGACTCAAGCTAAAGTAAACATTTAGCAAGCCAAAGAGAGCCAGAGTTTGTCAGTAGTTAGCAGATCAAACCAGAGCTAAAAAGGTGAGCGAATACTGACTTGCAGTTGTACGGGGGACTCCGCAGGGAGGCCCACGTTGCTTGTTTATGCTATATCTTTAAGTAGGCAGTTGTTTGCAATCAAATTAACCACAGCAACATGATAGGAAATTGGCAGTGATGTAAGTTTATTTTGGAATCTCTTTGCTCCTCAGAGGTAAAATTGATTGTTTAAATCTGTCACCCGGTGCCTAAGAAGTAGGAGCAAGCAAACTGTGATAAGTGGTGTTTAGTTGTGTTTTCTTTGATCAGGTTGGAGATGTTGTGGAGGTGGAGGAAGATGAGACTTTCCCCTGTGATTTAATACTCCTGCAGTCTAGCCGAGACGACGACACATGTTTTGTTACCACAGCAAGTCTGGACGGAGAGTCCAACCATAAAGTAAGATGGGCTGCTCTGCTGTCCCCCTTTTTCATAACAGAATGGTTAGGTTGTAATTTTTGTAGTTTTCTTTAAGTTATATTACTTATAGTCACTTAATGTTTACTTTAATATATTTTATGTTTTTATGTGTCTGTTGTTATTGCAATTTTTTTTTACATGCACTTACCTGGACATATCTCATATTATTTGTATACTTTTAAATTAATAGTAGTTTCAAAATAAATATATATATACATTTTCAAAGATAGTGAATTTGAATTTGTCACGAAAATTCAAGTTTCTCCCTTTTCTAGTTCCTTAGAAATATGTGTTTGTTCCGTTTTGTGTTCAAAGTGTTAGTCGCAGATTTCTGGGTATCCTTTATCTTCCTATTGTCCTGTAGTGTCTATTTGTGAGGGGTAGGGGGAAGGCTAAAATTATCACTTGACCTGAGCCAGTCAGCGTTTACTCTCTGTCTCTCTCTGCCTCTTCCACTTGTCCAGACACACTACACAGTGCCAGACACAGAGAAGGATCTGGAATCTCTCAACGCCACCATTGAGTGTGAACAGCCACAGCCTGACCTTTACAAGTAGGCTCTCATCATGTGGCCCCAACAAGTTTACACCACAAGCATGTGTTGCCTGTGGTTTGTTGGGCCATGGTTTTACTCGATGCCAGTTGAAAATGTCCTAAATGACTCTAATATTAACATGTTGATTGTTAAGTGCAGATGTTTTGGCTGTCCATAGTGTACTTATGCTTGGTTGGTTTCATATTAGGAATAGTAAAAGTGGACTTGATATTTCCAGTTATCTTTGGTCTATGCAGTATAGAGTTGATTTTTATTCACTTGTAGGAGTCACAGCTTTATAAACAGACAGCCTTTGGCTCCCCCTTGGGACAAAGAGTAGGAATATTGTCATTAAGCCAACCATCAGAATGGTGTTTGAGACGTGCTAAGTAAGACATAGTGCCAAATGCTTGCTATTCAGAGTCAATAAAACTGACAGCGTGCTGCTGGCTAACCACCAGTAATTAGCTGGCTCCCAAACCTCTGCAACTGATTTTAGGTCAATGAGTACTTACAGTTTTGTAAAGTAAATGGACTCATGGATTTGGATACCTCAAGTTCAAACCCACTCTATTCAGTAATATGCAAAACAAATATCACACATACATTTTATAAATGGCTTTAGCTTCTGACTGCCTATGTAATTTATTTTCCAGGTTTGTCGGCCGTATGCACATCTACAAAAATGATCAGGAGCCTACAGTAAGGTGAGAACACTTGTGTACAACTATCCCAACCTACTTTTAAGTGACAACAAAATCAAAACACACTTGCTTAAGCACTCATTTGTTTCCCTTTGCATCAGCAACAAATCATTATTCCATTGATGCTTCATCGCAGACAAGCATTAAAATTAAAACAGGTTGGCATCACTTCAGCCACTGCTTCCAAAGCACTCCCACAGGCATTTATCATTGACTGCTTTGTAATGGCCATATAAACAAATGCCAGTGTCCTTCTCAAGAACACTGGGACCGGTGTAAGCCCAGACTGCAGTCATACTGTGTATTGTCACTGCGCATTTTAGAGTGGATGCCAGCTTGCCTGCCAGGTTTCCATTTAGAGAATGGAGTGTGTGGACTGCACAGCTTCTGTATGACTAAACTGTTTGATCTACTGATGTGATTGTGCAGGTCTTTGGGCCCAGAAAACCTTCTGCTAAAAGGGGCAACTTTAAAGAACACTCAGAAAATCTGTGGTGAGTAGAAGAATATTGACTATAGTACAATAACTGATATTATTGAAGATCAGCTCAGTATCTAATAATCTAATCCTTCTTTTTCTCCTCCTTTTTCTTTCTCAAGGTGTTGCAGTTTACACTGGCATGGAGACAAAGATGGCTCTCAACTATCAGGGCAAGTCTCAGAAACGCTCTGCTGTGGAGAAGTAAGTTTATAGGAAACGGTATAAACAATTTAAATATATCCCTGACATACCTTTGCAAATCCTTAATTTGATTCCTTATATTTTCAGGTCTATCAACGCCTTCCTTCTGGTTTACCTTTGCATATTGGTGAGCAAGGCCCTTGTGTGCACTACACTTAAGTATGTGTGGCAGAGCAAGCCTGGACAGGATGAACCGTGGTACAACGAGAAAACCCAGAGAGAGAAGGAGACCAATCTAGTGAGTACACATTTAAGCAACCTGCCTGTCCTTGTTGTTGTTACAATGAACTGTGAGTTAAAACCAAACCAGGCTTATATCAAAAATGGTATAGAAACACAGTATTATGTGTATTGCAAGAGTTACTATACCTTGAAGGTTGTTGCTGTTAATAGGGTAAATACTTGCCCTGTTGAGGCTTGTAGTTTTAGCCTCTGAGGTCACAGTTCCATTGTATTAAAGAATTTTACTGTACAAGCCACAGCCTCTTCTGATCCACACTAATAAACCTCTCCTCAGCAAAATGGCCACTAGACCTACATCGTAACATGCTCCATTTCATTGGCTTTTAATCTTCTGCCCTAGCCCTCAATGAACTGTGAACATTGTGATTCAATATTACGATTTCCATCATGTCATGGATAATATAGGACTACTGGTCTTAATGTGAGCACATCATGCATGTTATGCACACGGAGTGTAATATAGTCAGCCTATAGTCAGCAAATTTTCCAAGTCTGTTTCCATTCACACAGTGTTTAACACTGTCTCCTCACAGCCAGAAGGTCCTGGGTTTGAATCCAGGCAGGGCCTTTCTGTGTGGAGTTTGAATGTTCTTCCCATGTTTGCATGGGTTTCCTCCAGGTGCTCCGATTTCCCGATGTTAGCTTAATTGTGTATGTCCATGACCAAGTTGTCTAAGGTGGTCCCTGGCCGCTGCACAGTGGCTGCCCACTGCTCGAAACACCTAAGATTGGTTAAATTATTGAATGAATGAATGAATTAATAAATGTTCCTATGGGAATAACCTCAATTAATTAGTTTAAATAGCAGAGATGGGTATTTCAACATCTGATGACAAGATAAGATAAATATGTGCCTTTTTTCTCATTTTTTCCCAACAGTATCTAAAAATGTTCACTGACTTCCTGTCCTTCATGGTGCTCTTCAACTTCATCATTCCGGTGTCCATGTATGTGACGGTTGAAATGCAAAAGTTTTTGGGATCCTTTTTCATCACTTGGGACAAGGACTTCTTTGACCCTGAAATCAAGGAAGGGGCACTGGTCAACACCTCCGACCTCAATGAGGAGCTGGGACAGGTCAGGCAGATGGACAAAATTAAATTAAGCCACATTTGTGAAATTTGTGTCACTGGGGAATTGCTTTCTGTAAACTCAGCATTTGTGTGTTAATTAAAAACCTGTAATTTTTTTTAAATTACAAAATAAATTGCAAAAATTTTCTTTAACATTTTGTTCATTTTAATACTTGAAATTTAAAAGAAAAAGCCAAATTAAAGGTTAGACCAAGTTAGGATTGAGTCTCCAGACTGATCTGTACAGTGCTTATGTTAAATATGAGCTGCACCAGATTAGTTGTGCTGTCCAGTCTTCACCTGTTTTTTATGGCACTTCTAACTCAAACAGTGCTGCCATAGATCAGTCACACTTGGTTTGCCAGATGATTATGTCAATTAAAGGTGATGGTTCGTTAAACTGATTAATGCTGGCCGTAATTGCCAAATCTTATTGTTGGAACCTGTTAAATGGGCAGCTGAATTTTTATGGGTTTGGAAGAGACTGTCATGTACTTTTATCACATTGCCTGCAGGTGGAGTATGTCTTCACAGACAAGACGGGCACCCTCACTCAGAATAACATGGAGTTCATTGAGTGCTGCATCGATGGTTTCCAGTACAAGTACCGGGACGCAAGCTCAGAGTTGGACGGATTCTGTGTCACAGATGGACCTGTGAGCAAACTACAGCAGAAAGCTGGCAGGGTGGGTGTTGTTGTGTCCCTCCATCTGTTGTAAAAGTCACACAAGCAGCAACATATGGCCATTACATAGCTCGCTGCTCAGAAAGACCCTTCATAGGTCACCTGCATACAGTCTCCTTGACATGTCAACATAAGCACTCAACATGGAGGGGGAGCAATGTGGCTGTGTGTTCGCACCTGATAACACTTTACTGTTGTACTTAAACATGCATGTTGATCAAATTTAACTTAGACAAATAATTGTAAATCCAGGGCTTAATCTAAACTCCAGCTACTGTATGTGGCTCCATGTGAGGCTGTAAATAAATACATTTTATGTAATAGTAAAGATTGCTCGTTCAATTCATTTAATTTAAACACAGTGTACTGTATTGTATTTTACTGTATTAAGCCATGTTGTGTTATTAGGAGAAGGAGGAGCTGTTTCTGCGTGCCCTGTGTCTGTGCCACACAGTCCAGGTGAAGGAGTCTGCAGAGCAGGGTCAAGGCCAAAAGGATGGGCAGATAGACGAGGTGGATGGCTTAGGGGTGGATGGAGGAGTTATCCATCCTCTGCAGGAGCAGAGAGGCTTTATAGCTTCCTCACCTGATGAGGTTGCTCTGGTCAAGGGTGCCATGAGGTAAGAGAATGAGCTGTCATGTCATATGAACATGAATATCATAGAAGGTATTCAGAAAATCCTAGATGGTATACATTTCATTACAGCCTTTATTCATAGAGCGCATGAGGACATAAAGGGCTCATTTGTGATGATTTGTCTCCATCTTCAGGTATGGCTTTACATTTCTGGGTCTTGAAAGCAAAACCATGAAAATTCTCAACAGGAACAATGACGTTGAAATGTAAGTTAGCAGTTTTTACTTTATATCCATATTTTTTCCATTTACATTTGCACTGTAGCTTTTATTTTATTTAGCTTTCATATTTATGTATATTTGTTTATTTCCCGAAGGTATGAACTGCTCCATGTGTTGAACTTTGACCCTGTGAGAAGGCGAATGAGTGTAATAGTCAGATCCAAATCAGGTGAGCTTGAGATTGCTTTCAGGTTTATTGCATTGAGTGTGATTTAGTGTCGGCCCTCAACACTTACCATGCTGTGCGTTTGTGTGTCTCTATGTTTGTGCGTAGGTGATACACTGCTCTTCTGTAAGGGGGCAGACTCATCCATCTTTCCCCGTGTCAGACAGGAGGAGGTCGAAAGGATACGCATGCATGTGGAGCGTAATGCAACAGTGGGTGACCTAAGCAAATTGCCTTGTTGTTATATTTTATTAGTATACATAGTACTATGTGATTCTAGGGTTTAATTTGCAATGGTGTCAAGACTTTTGTGCCTCCTTGTTGTAACATTGGGTGCTTTGTTTCACTGTTCAGGAGGGCTACCGGACACTGTGTGTGGCCTACAAAATTCTCAGTGCAGAGGAGTACGCCCAGGCCGATGCAGGATTGAGAGAAGCTAGACTGGCTCTGCAGGACAGAGAGGAGAAGCTCATGACTGTTTACAACCAAGTGGAGACGGGCATGAGTCTAATAGGAGCTACTGCTGTAGAAGATCGGTGGGTGCTCACACAACATAACCTGATGCTGCTGATGTTTAAAGTTGTCTTATATCTTGCGTAGTTTGTTGTTATCTTGCATGCTGCTGTTGTCGTCCCTCTCAAATTTTAGGGGCAAAATCTACATACATAAATAGAATACACCTAAAATAAAATAAAAAAAAACAACCACTGACAGATAAATGTTTAAATTCATCAGCCACCCACTAGTAAGTCATTATTCTGTGTCTGAAATCTACCAGCCACTTTCATATTTTACTAGCATTTGGCTGGTAGCTGGTGGTAATTTACCACTCTGGTGATAGCTAATAGTCCCTGTTATCCCAAAACTTTTTAATGTAAGCTCACACCGCCATCTTGTGGTTGACATTGGGTACTCTTCCACAGTCCAAGATTAAAAACTTAATAACAGCATCCTTACTCTCATTTAAGTTCCACTTGCACCAGAAAACCAGCAGACTTGCTTGGTTTTGCTATAATGCAATTTGCTAGATCTTATGTAAAATTTAACCCTGATGTCCATGGTTTTGTTCAACTTTAGATTTTTCTTTTTAGAGATAGTAATAATTTTTCACTAGTGTCATTTCTACCCCCCAGGCTTCAAGAAGAGGCAGCAGAGACCATGGAAGCTCTGCAGGGGGCAGGCATGAAGGTTTGGGTCCTAACGGGGGACAAGATGGAGACGGCAAAGTCCACCTGTTATGCTTGTAGATTATTCCAGAGAAATACAGAGCTGTTGGAGCTGACGGTGCGTACTCTGGAGGATGGAGGAAGGAGGCGTGAGGAACGACTGCATGATCTCCTGCTTGAATATCACAAGAAAGCTGTACAGGATGCACCACCAGTGAAGGCAGGCGTCACCAGGTTGGTGCCCTGACTTAAGTTTTGGATTTGTTATGTGATGCTTTGCTGTTGTGTTAGGGTTATCATTTAAACAAACTGAATCTTAGTTGATTATTAAACCCATTTCCCTGTTTTGTTTGGTAGGAGCTGGTCTTCGGCAGGCCAGGACTATGGTTTTATCATAGATGGAGCCACTCTCTCGATGGTGCTCAACTCCTCCTCTGAATCCAACTCAAATCGCTACAAGAACCTGTTCCTGCAGATTTGTCAAAACTGCACATCTGTGCTCTGCTGCCGCATGGCTCCTTTACAGAAGGCACAGGTCAAAACAATCAATTTAATTGTGACAAATGTTTATTCATTCATTCAAGAACTAAAATAGTGAACACTTGGTTTCATTTGTTTTTAATGTTGTCCCTCTGTGTTGCTCCATCTTTAGATAGTTAAAATGGTGAAGAACTCTAAAGGAAGCCCAATCACCCTTTCCATCGGAGATGGTGCCAATGATGTCAGCATGATTTTGGAAGCTCATGTTGGCATTGGTATGAAATCACATGCTGAAGCTAGCTAGCAGATCTCTAATTGTTGTTCTAAATAGTAGGATGGGTAACCTTTTTGGTGTGTGTGATATTTGTTCCCTGTGTTTCAGGTATTAAGGGTAAAGAGGGTCGGCAGGCAGTGAGGAACAGTGATTATGCCATCCCCAAACTCAAGCACCTCAAGAAACTTTTGTTGGCTCATGGGCATCTCTACTATGTTCGCATTGCACACCTGGTGCAATATTTCTTTTACAAGGTAGGAGGAACAGAGGCTTTAGTCACATTGCTTTCATTTCATTCTTCAGCCTGAGAACTTGTTGTGGGTTTCAGCAAAGCCTGTTTTTCCCAAACAAACCCACACACTAACTTGATCTGAGGATTATGTGGTGAAGAGACAGATCTGACAGAATCAATCCTCTTAACAAATTAAATAGATTTGTAGCTTGAACTTGGGTTAATGTATTTGTACCTTCATTATAAGCACATGAGAATGATTGCATTTGATGTTCTCTGTGTGAGCCTGTTCTCTTTCTCTGTTTGCCTGCAGAACCTTTGCTTCATCTTACCTCAGTTTTTGTACCAGTTCTTCTGTGGCTATTCCCAGCAAGTGAGTATCTCCTGATGCCCTTTGAGGTTCAAAGATGTTGTGAACGTGAAAGGAGGCAGTGTCCCTTGATTCCACACCTCCGTCCTCGATTCTTCCCCTCAGATTGCCCCTCCCTCACTGCCCCTGGGATGTTTGAGCTCTGACTGATATGTTTATATACTGACTTAGACTTACATAGCAATAAAGATAATGGAGACATGTGGGATGTTCTGCCACCATGGTACATTGTATGAGGATATTATGTAATCATAGTGATGTGTGTGTCACACTGTTACCAGCACAATGACATAACAATACATTAGAGAAATTCAGGTATGGATAAGATGACCTCATTATAGTTTGGAGCACATCAATGACTTCACTTGGGAGAGATAACCCTAACTCTGTTGAGAAATAAGTATATTTTATAAAATCTGTATAGATTTACAATGTTTTATGGTACTGTGTTCATATAAAAAACTGCTCCTGGCATAGCAGTATCTTTTAATTAGTGCATTAATATATAGATGTCATCCTTTTAAAGATATTTGATTATGTTTTGGTATTTCTGTTTGTGTAAGGTGAGGATGAATAGGTCATTCTCCCTCATGCCACATGGCCCCTGACATGAATCTTCCATAAATACATGAAATATGTGTATATAAGCTTGCTTATATGACATACCGTATGTGTAAGTATGATGGTGTGTATGAGTTTTGTCCTCTCCATGATATTAATCCCTGGTTGCCCCGTCCCTCCTCCTGCTCCTTACCAACCCCTCCCCCCTCACTCCCCCTTCCTGCTCCCATCCTCCCCCCAGCCCCTGTATGACGCGGCCTATCTGACGATGTACAACATCTGCTTCACCTCTATGCCCATCCTGGCTTACAGTCTCTTGGAGCAGCACATCTGCATGGAGGTTCTGCTGGACAATGCTACCCTCTACAGGTAAACCTGGGGACATGTGCTTATCTGCACCACAACACCAGGTGGATGTAGATGTGCTTTTTAAGTTGCAACCTTATTTCATTGTTTATAGTTTGTCTTTCTCCTTTATGATTTTCTTTAGAGAGATTGCAAAGAATGCCATGTTACGGTGGGGACCGTTCCTCTACTGGACTATACTTGGAGTCTTCCATGGCTTGCTCTTCTTCTTTGGTGTTCGATATTTGTTCAGTAACCCAGCACTGCAGGATAATGGCCAGGTTTGATTGAGTCCTCCTTCCGAATTTGTGTTATATTAAATTACTTGATTAAGCATTTTCTCTTAAGTACACTTGGTCATTTCCCTTATTTTAATACAGGTTTTTGGGAACTGGTCATACGGAACAATTGTCTTCACTGTCCTTGTCTTCACTGTCACACTAAAGGTAAAACCACTCACTTGTTGTTTGATTATCTTATGGAAGAGTGTATCATTAGCGCAGCCATTTTACATGAGATTTTTCAGAGCATTGATATGTGTTGTGTTGGATATTTGACGTGTTTATTTAGTGACTTTTCTCTGCCACTCTAGCTTGCTCTGGACACACGGCACTGGACATGGATCAACCACTTTGTAATCTGGGGCTCCCTGGCTTTCTACGTGTTTTTCAGCTTCTTCTGGGGAGGAATAATATGGTAAGGACTCAGGATAAAATAACCTGTTTAGTGGCTAACCTTCTATTTTTCATCTCTTCAACCACCATTGCTCTTCGGGTCAGTGTAAACCAAAGTGTTCCCTCTCCTGCAGGCCTTTCCTGAAGCAGCAACGTTTGTACTTTGTGTTTGCCAACATGCTGAGCTCGGTGTCAGCCTGGCTGGTCATCATTTTGCTCATCCTGCTCAGCCTACTGCCAGAGATCCTGCTTGTGGTGTTCCGCAAACCCCGCGGGCCCCACGCTCGACAGGTAGAGCTGAAACACACACACACATACTTGGCCTGTACTTCACTTTCTCTCTCTCTCTCTTCTCTCTCTCTCGCTCTCTCGCTCTCTCTCTCTCTGTTCCAGATTTACATTGCTCAAACTTAAAATATATTTGTTGTGACAATTTAACTACTTATTTCCTCAAGGGTTTGGCTGTTGTTAATGGAACCCATCCTTGATGTATTTCCAAGTGAAGTGAAAGATGTGGGTTGGGTGTAGTTCTGAGAAATAATTTTTGGATCACTATAGAATGGGATTGGATTTGTATATACGGAGCAACGATTCGCTGTTGGCTTCCACAAACAACTCTCTCACTTGTGTTCTTGGATCAGGAGGCAGAGGACGAGGGAGAAAAGAGTAAATTAAGACCTCAACCACATTTTTTTTCTATAATAGATAGGGCTAGCTAGTCACTCTAAATCACATTAGGTTGAAGAAGTTTATGTACGCAGTTCATGCAAAGTATTTTAACTTAAAGAATGTCACATTTACATATACAGTAGTTGTTATATACCAAGAGACTGAACTATTAACACAGGGTTATAACTTGAAAAATCGTTTTTTTTTTCTCCACTGTTTCTTTAATATCCTTAGCAGTTTTTTTTTGCAGATTGTTGAATTGATTTCAGAGGGACAGTTTCCCATTTCCTCTAGAAGACAACTTTCCCAGACATATTTTGTCATTAGCTTCCCATGAAGCTTATGTGTTTTCCAAACAGCTGGAAATGATTGGTGGCATGTGCTGTGCTCTTGGTTGTATTCCACCCTTGTTTTTCTTTAAATTGTGTCTAGACTTGTTTTATGTGGGTAAAGTAATAAACCAAGCCAAATGTTTTGCACATATTTGAAGGACGTTATACGGCCGTTTTGTACAATATGGGCTTATTACAGTGTTTGTCTTTTAAAATGTCTGTTTCAGTGTCTGTCTGACGGTTGGTGAAGTGACAGAATCAATCAAAAATGTACAAAATAAATATTTTTTATAAGTAGGTGCATTACTTGGAATACTGTGGATTTTGCAGTTCACAGATTAAAATGACAATCGTTACTATATAGGTGGTATAGTGTAACTATCTGGTACTTATGCATTTTATTTTAGAACATCCCCTTTTATCAACTTTGTTTTCCTAACTATTACCTCTTGCTTTTACACTTTAACACATTCTTCTTGCTCTGTCTCTCATTTCTTCTTCTCTTCCTCTCTGGACCTGCCTCCCCTAAAGATGAAACATCGCCTTCCTTCCTCGGGGACATCTACTATCTTCATGTTGTCGCAGACCGCTAGCACTCACAGCTTCTCGTGGAGTGACTGAGGTCTCTTTTTCTTTCTGTCAGCCCTTATACTTAAGTCTCTTCCTGCAGCGTTTCTGTGTCTGCCGGTCTTGCTTGTTTCCTACCTGTTGTGTCCTTCCTCTCCCACTGTTAGACTCCTTCCTTAACCTCTAAAGTAACTTAGGGTGGCGTTCTGTGGATTTTTACTCTCCCCACTCGGTTGGACAGATTAGGCCAGACAATTTCAGATGAATTATTACATCAGGAATGCTATCCTTGGCGGGCCCCATCTTTAAACCCTGTCTTGAGTGCTTTTCATATGTTTATTTAATTGGGAGGAATGTTGGTCAGTGGGTGAGGGTGTGCCCAGTTCCGCCAGCAGTGTGGAGTAGGGCCGGGTGTCCATGCTAAACACGTGCAGTCAGTCTTCCATTCTTGTCTGTCCAGTTGTATCAGTCAGTGTCCTCGTCCCAGCTGCCTGTGCTGCTCCAATGCCTGCTGCCTCCGCATGTCAAGTCAGGTGAATGCAGCACGTCAAAGCACCCAAACTTACCTGCATGAGGCTCAAGTCAACAACCTCATCCTGGATCCTCACCACAAACCCTGCAGGCCACTGCATTTTGTCTGTGCGTGTGTGTGCGTGCGTTATATCGTACCTGCTTTTAAGAAATGTGCAAGGATAGTAGCCCTGTATTAATTTGGAGCATTTCATATAGAGTCTAGACCTCTGGGAATTATTATTGCAAGGTAAAGGTGTCTTAAAAGGCACCTGGACTGATTTTCATTGTCCACCTTTCCAGTTTTGAAGTCTTTGTGTATGTACATGTTTGTTCCCTGTGTATATGTGTATGTCTGTGTGCAAGGGAGAGCACAAGATGGAAAGAGTGGCAGAGTGTGTATGTGTTTGTCAGCGTAGTGATGTCATTGGTGTCTCTTGCCTCACTCTTCTAGAAGAAGCCAGTTCAGTCGAGCGCGGGGGGCCACCAGTCTCCCCGGTCTTCGGCCAGGCCCCTGCTCATGAGAACCTTTTCAGATGAGTCCAATACTGTCATTTAAACAGGTACCAGCCTACCTTCAGGCCGTTTAAGCCAATCAAAGACTCACTCCCCCAGCCAACCTCTCCAGCAGTTCTGGTCCCTAACTCTGAGTATTAACAAGAGAATCAAAGGCAAAATGGCATACAGGCCACGATCAACAAGACCCAGTGTGTTCTTATGTGTTGTGTATGCTGATATTGGCTGGCTGAAGAGATGCACTTTTTCTTTGTCAGACTAAAGTGTCAACATTTTTAATATATTTAACCTGTGAGTGCATCATTAGGCCTATTGTTGCACACCTTAAATTAGTTTTTTGTTAGATACATGCTCCTTTCAGCCTCCCTTTGGAAGCTTGTATTACCTTCTGCATGTGCTTTTAAAAACCCAATTTTAAATGTTTTTAATTTCAGTCCATCTCATTTTTGGACCTGGAATGTCTGAGTTTGTTAAGGTGTCGTTTGCAGTTTGCTCTGGTTTTCTTGTTTGACAGTGTGAAATAACAGAGCTGGTATGTGATTATAACTGTCTGATATTTCTGTACTGTTTGTGACGTGATGGTTTGGTCATGGTCGTTTCGTCCTGTGCACAACCTGTGTTGGTGGTCGATGTCTGCTTACTTTCCTGGCAAATAATGGAGTTGAAGCGCTGAGCTTACCTCACTGCATGATGTCACGTTGCCTTAAACTCAGGCCGAATGTTGCCGCAGTACATACAGGGGGGATGACAAATGAATGGAAACATCACATGATAAAATATAAACTGAGGTATGAAAACATAATTATGGTAAATATGGAAAACCAGTGTCAGTATTACATACATATATATTAAGATATTATGGAATAAATAATAATTTGAATGAATGCAGACAAACTATGAAATATATACCATGAAATGTATTATATGTTTTATGTATTTCTATGTTATCAGTCTGCTTCTTTTTACGATAAAGAATGAAGAGTTCATTCCAGTATTTTTTATATGTCCAAAAGTCTGTTTTTAAAAAAAAAAATGATTTATGGGCCTTTTGGGTGTTTTTAATAGAACTGGGGACATGCTGTTCATGGTTTGTGTGCCAACCCCCTACCCCAGAGTTTTTGAAATTTGTTGTATTATTTATATCACAATTTTCATGGTTTATCATATATTTTGTCTGTATTTATTCAAATGATTTCATAATGTCAGATTGATTTAATATTTGACTATTTTAGTCTCCATGGATAAATTAAAAAAAGAAGTAATTAAAGGAAGACTAAAAATATGTTTAAACATATTTTAAGCTTATTTCCAATTAACACACTTGGTGTGTTTTAAAGTTATGTCTTCCTTGTGTATGGCAGCGATATCAAGAGTACTGTAGGTGTTCTGAAGTGAAACAGCATCTCTACACCTTGTTGTCCACTTGATACTGTGGTAAATATGTAGGTGTTTTCATTTTTTGTCCACCCCCTGTAGGTAGGTCTGAGTGTCACCCCCTCCCATCACTGTTGACCAGGGTCACCGGTATCGGTACAGTAGCACCCGCCTTTTCAACCACAGCTTTCAATGTTTAAACTGCATTTCTATTCTCCCTATAGCTGTCAGAGAACGGCCTGCTACAAACATCCAGGTAAATTACGGCGAGACAATCTTAACCTTCTCTGTTTGTTAAATATCCCTGCTGAGCTTCAACAGATCAGTAGACTTGGATGAATCGGGAACATTTCCTTTACTAATTTCTGCTTGTCTCTGGTGGTGGGGAATGCGTCATTTGAATGTTTTCTTATTGTACGTGGTACGTGGCCAATCACCTCTTTTTCTCTGATGATTTTTGATTATTTCAAAGTGTATTGTCCTCTTCCTCTTGTTGGCACAAGCTCAGAATGAAAACACAGAGTAAAATGCTGTCTGCTTGTGCTTTTTCAGATTGCAGCTGTCACACCACTATCCTACAAGCACCTGAAGGAGCGCGAGTGAAAGGCAGCAAGGACTTGCAACAACGATGGCATCAGCTACTTTCAGGGTATGGTGCCAGTCGGATCAGAGCTGTCTGCCATCCCGCCTGATCTGAAAAGAGAAGGAGAAGAAATGGAGGAGAAAAAAATAAGAAGAAAAAGAGAGATGTGCTGACTGGGGGGAAGGGACAAAAAGGGGTTTAGCAGTCTTTTGACTCACATCTTTGCTCCGTCCTCCTCTGCCCAATCCTAACATCTCCTAACCCCCCATGCATGCCTGCAGAGCAGTGCGCTGCATTATTTTTTTAAAATATCTACTCAGATGACAGGCATGAGTTTTCTTTCTTTTACTTCTTTAAAAAAAATACTAGCTTACAAATGAATGCATACATGGCTGCCTTGTCAGTAGCTCTACCCAACTGCTGTGTTTTAACAAGCAGCTGTAATATCCACTCCAAGAATGGTTCACCTGCATGAATGAAGGCTCAAAAGAACGCTTCACTCCACTGATGTTCAGTCACTGTATTCGGCAGAGTTTTTATTAAGACACAATTATTGACACACCACTGTCAACGGTTAAAGGTTATTCTACTTTATTGCACTTTTCAATGGTTATTCTTTAAATGGTAATCATATGTTTCAGGAAATACACTCATCCAAATTATTCAAGAGGAAAAGTTACTGATGGTGATTTCAGTTCTGCTCAAATCAGCATACAGACTGTTCGAACAGGTTTCTGATTTATAGATTTTTTTTGTGATTATTTGTGTCTAAAGATGATTCTCTATTATATACTAAGGTATAAGATGCGTTAATCGAGGCCATATTACCACTCAATCCAAAAAGTGTGTGTGTATGCAAGATTGAGAGATAGAGTAGAGATGTTAAGCATATTCTGGCAATGAAACATTGCTGGGAGCGTGACCTAAATCTTCCAACCTCAGAGATAATTTAAGAGTCCATTTAAGATGAGAAAATTAATATATGTGCTGTACTGTATATAGCTTAGAGATGTATGATCTGCTCAAAGCCAAAAAAGACAAACGTAAGTTGATCAGATTCTGTCCACACTAGTGTGACCTGAAAGTGACAAGTCAGTGTGTGTGTAAGCGTGTGTGCCTGTGTGTTACATATGTGCGTGAAGCTGTACTGGATGAGAAATGCCAGAAACGCCTGCGTGTCATGAAAACCGGGATTACTTGAACCTTGTTGATGTAGTTCGGTTAGACATTACCTGCACTATTAAGGAACCTGGTTTCTTCATTGCGTAGATGGTCACTAAGGCACATGAGTATATGCCTGAGCACACAAACACACGCACATATTAGATAGACGAGAACAATACACGCACGATAACCACACACGTTGTACACATAAATGCGCACATGCACTAAAGCCTAAATGAGGTATTTATGTTTGTTACCCATTATCTAGTTCACGTTTTTAATCTCGACAGGCTGAATTTGGAGTGTGAAGAGAATCAACTCCAGCCTTGCTGAGTCAGTATAGTTAATGCCACTGTGAGGCTCCACACTCAGTCTCCTTCCTTCTGTTTTGGTCAGATTTGCTGACCGACAGGATGATGGAGTGGACTGTTTGGCCTTTTGTTCCTTCCTTTAACTTTTTGTGTGTAGTGCTTCATACATTCCATTTAAACATGCCATGTTTTCAAACACCTTTAGATACTGTTTTGACATATTTTCTTCTTCTTTTTTTCCCCACAAACACGTATTGTCTATTTTACATATTTATTGTTGAGTGTACTATTATTCACAAATGTTATACTTTTATTACATAGATCTTTTTTATTGTGGAGAGTGTTCAGCTTTGTGCCAGTTGAGTTCGTCTGTGTTTCTCCAGCCCTGATGTTAGCCCGTGCCAATACCATTTGATAGTCTTTGTCATACATGCAAAGACAGGCAGCCCCCCAATACACTCCCAACATCCCAAAATCAACCTCTGAACCAATGCCACTCCACTTGCCATGTTATTTTAACTCTTGGTTTGAACTGATGAGTACATATCACTATGTATATCATTTATGTTACAAATGTTCAGTATGTTTTTAAAGTGTACCTTTTCACTGATTCCTGCTCAAATAATATCTCCAGTATAGTACTTTCTAGTACTGGCCTTGTATTTCACTGTAACCTGACATATTTGATAGTGCATCTGCAAACTGGCTCATGCAGTTATAACGCCAAATTGAGATTTTAAAAATTAAGTTAATGTTGATTTGTTCTTAATAAATTGGAAAAGTGTACATGCCGTTCAGCAACATTTTCTACTTAAGAGTAAGTCTGCTTTTCTGATGTTAGGAAAGGGGAGGAGGCTGTTCTTTACTCTGTGACATGCCACCTCCAGACTGCACTGTGCCGGAGATACCGGATGTAAGAGGACACACTGTAAGAGAGGGGCTGCCTGCTTTGTTAACAAATGAAAAACCTTTAACTGACATCAGAGATGCTATTTTCAGAGCTTAAAAATATCTTGGAATCTAATGTTTTGCCTGTCTAAATGAAACGTATAAAAGAATGGATTGTATTTTTAATGCAACCTTTTTCCAGCCACTTTTTTGTAATAAAATCAAAAATGTCCAAAAACAAGCACGAGAGGCTCTGTGGTTGTGGACGCTGTCCCTGTCTGTGAGGGGGTGGAGGTGGACGACTTCAGGCACCTCAGCAGCCCTGCGTCATACAGCAGGGACACCTCTAAACCTCCAGCCCTTTGGGTCCCAGCCTCAACACTCCAAACCTCCAAGCTGAATGTACCTCTTTGAAACAAGTATATTCAAAACCTGAAGATTTTCTGTAATAAAGCAGAATGTTTTGAAGAAAAACCTAAGTCTTACAGTGCTTTTTTTTTTTTTTTACACCAACAGTTATGTCAGCAGGTTTGTCTGATGTGAGGATGTGTGTATGTGTGGGCGGCTGGGACTGTGTGTGTGTGTGTGTGTTTGTGTGCTTTTGACCACACTAAGCAGATGCTGTGCAGTAATGAGATGGCTGAGAGGCTAAGCTGGATCAGCTGAGTGGCTGCATATCAGGGCAACATACTGCTGCTCTCCCGTTCCTCCATGTGTGGCCTCCCATCAAGAAAACATCAAGCACTGTGAGTCACTGTGTAAAGGAGGTTTACATACACATATAAGTTTTCTCCACTCTAGTCTGTACTGTTAATGAGCACTGATCCATTCAGTGCAGTTGTGGGCTGAGCAGCGGGGAGTTGAGTTGAGAAAGGCTCTGTGTATCTGTATGTACACAATGACACCCTTTCATATTTGTTCTTCTGTTTGAATGTGATTGTTGTGTATTAAAGGCTGTGCTTCGCATGGGCCAAACTTGTTGGCTGAGGGTGCGGTAGATTTTCATTTTCTGATTTTACAATAGATCTATTCTCCGCTGTGTGTGCATCTACATTATAGTAAAGCTGGAGAAAGTGGGGACATGAACATGGCAGCCAGACAGCCTAACAATCCACCCTACTGTAGAACAGTCAGCATTATACTGAAGGCATAGAAAACAGAAAAGGCAGAGCATGAAGGAGTGTGAAGTGAGGAGAAAAATTGGGAGGGAGTTGGCAGTGTGTCAGGAGTACACTCTTGAGCTCTGTGCGGTGCAGAGCTGACGCCCACTTAAAGCTCAGACAGAAGGAGAGAGAGAGAGGAAGGGAGGATGGAGGGGAGAGGAGAGGGGAGGAGCGACAGAGAGACAGACAGCAGTGGCCAGATGGAGCCCTGTTTGTTTTGAAGTAGCTGACTGCTGCTGAGAGTAGGGCAGTCTGCCGGCACTAGTGTGACTGAATGAGGGGAAAAGTACATCACACCCAGTCTGGGCAACAACAGGACAGCAAACCACTGTTTTCATTCTGCTTATGTGGACAGATCTTCTGCTGTGCTGCTCAGTGTGGAGGCCCTCTATGCAGCTCAAGGTCAGGAAAATCCAGCTGCAGCCTCAGGGAACTGTCCCATCTGGATTTTGGGATCCGCAGGGGCAGGTGGGCTCAAGTTTCCCTGTTGTTGCTCTCCAGCTTTGATACAGGGACACTATGCAGGGCTATAGGACTCTGAAGAGGATGTGAGGCCTGGACTATACTGTCAATACCTCCCACGACAGCGTTGGTTCTCTCAGCCTGATCCAGTGTCAGAGACGAGGGGGAATGGGCCCAGCCTCACTGCAGGGGGAGAGAGAGCCGGAGAAAGAGCCCAAGGCAGAGATGGAGAGCTACCGCTACCTTCTGCAGGCTGGCTCCCAGCTAGAGAGCACTCTGCAGCGTGAGTACCCAAGATGCTGACAGTCTTCATTTAACTTCTGGGAGCCACTAGCAGGCTTTTGAACGTAACCTTCTATCTGCTCTGAAGCTATTTTCCATTACTACATTTCTTCAGCAGAGTTCAGCAGACTGAAACTGAAATGTGCTGTAGCACAAGTTTGATTTAGAGTGTTGTAACTTCTGAGAGCCATTACAGGAGGTAACTGTAGAACTGCACCCTGTATCTCAGGTTAGTCAGTATTATTGATGTGCTAGTTCCTGCAGCTTTGCTCCTCCAACAGTGGGCCATTGCAGGGCTTATGTCAGCTATTTTAAGCCATCACAGACGGATAAATATTTATACATAGTAATGGTTTGTAGCTGGAATATCTTTAGACTATAGTGGGTTGTGGATCAGTGTGGGACAGTGGATGGAAGAAAAAATGAATGCTGTTTATGTCAATTCACCCATTTGAAAGATAATGTAGTATGATCAGAAAATACATCATGTAGCTTTACTTTCACATAAAATGTCATTGACATCAGGATTCTTTTTTATAAGACTGATGTCATTTTAAAAAGCATCATTACCCTCATTGATCAGTCATCATTCTGAAGCTATAATGACGATGAAGAATTAAGATAAGATGGACAGAAATAGTGCCTCCTGTGATTGACAGCTCCACGGAGGAGCCTCCTCTCGAAGCTAATGTGATTACTCTGGGATCTTGGCAGCCTTGAGTTATTGTTTAATTGATGGGCCTTTACCTTTTTATGTCTCCTGTGGGTTCGTTGTACCTGCACTGGGGTGTGTAGGTAACAGAGAGAGCAGGGAAAAGGCCAGGCTTAGTATCTATTTATACCAGGTTACTTTTTTATCTCTTTGTATGAAATGTGAGCCTTCCACTCTTGTCCTAGTCTGCTTACTGTTTGCAGTATAGAACAATAACCACAGATTCATCATTTACTTCATGGGAAATGATGATACAGTATCCTTTACATAGCTCACCTATTGCCCTCATCCTTCTACACCTACAGATGATCACTCCTGCTCCAATGTACCTCCCACAAGTATGGGAGTAAAGTAAACCTACAGTTTACACAATACTCATGATACAGGGACTTATGAATGTGTGGTTAGACAACACCCAAAAGAAGATTGTACTCCCCTGGGATTACAGTTTAAATCTTCCTTTTAGTGTTGTCCTTTTTATCAGTTAAGTTTGTATAAACAAGTATTCCAGCTGGTCCAGTGTACCATGAACAAATAAAGGTTTCTCTATACTGACAGCAGTGTGCTTGATACCATTAAATTACTATTAATCACTAAACCCTACGAAGGCTCAACAGCACAGTAAAAGCAACATTTTCCTCCTGCCATTGCCACTTCAACTACACTCCAACTGCCTTTCAGTGTCTGCATTCCTCAATTGACTTAAGTGCCTCAGTGTAGACTGTAACTCCCGCACTTCTAACTTCTAACATTTGAACCTTTAACCTGTTTACCGTGTTTGCGCCAGCAATTTTCTGCATAAATGAGTGAAGAGAACTTTCGTTAGAAGATTTTCCCTTTTCTTGTTTTCTCTATAGCAGTATATAGATACCAAACAGTCTTGTGATATTATAAGACAGAAAGCCACATGAATCATGATAAATCACCACTACAAAGACTAGCAGCCCATACACAGCACAGGAAAATCAAAAAATGTCCTCCTACCTTATGATATTTCCTGTGCGTGGTGTATGGGGAACTGCTAGTCTTTGTTAGTTGGTGATGTTATCATGACTTTCATTGTCGGCTTTCTGTCTG